CTCTCCAGGGTCTTTTCCCAGGCGCTGGACAACACACATGTCACCACATGATTACCGGCTTTCCCACTGGTGGTACAGTAGTTATTCCTCACCCCACCCTTATGGGGGTTTTTTAGAACCTCCCCAGGCTCGAACCTCCAACCTCTACTACCTTAACAAAGTTGAGGCTGAACCTGGTACCATTGAGTCTTGACTCAATGGTACCAGGTTCAGCCTCAACTTTGTTATGTAGGAGAGGTTGGAGGATCGAACCTGGGGAGGCTCTCCGCAAGGGGAATAATCCTGCACACTACTGCGGGGAAGCCTTTGTCTCCTGATGCTCACCGTAAGGGGTGGGGTCGCCCTTGTTGTGGGGCCTGGGGGGAGAGTGTCCAGCGCTGGGAAATGACCTTGGGGAGGCGGGGTGACCCAGAGGGCTGTTACACCACACACATGCTGCGTTAGTGAGAAATAACAAAGTTAACAGGTGACTAGAGATAAGAATAGATCAAACCTCTATCAGGAGCTTACGCCTTAGCCTACTTCAAGCTGAGCCTACTCAAGCCAAGTTCAGACCTTTAATTAGGCATATTTAGTTAAATAGATCAGGCTTAGTTTTTTAAAGCCTAGCTTACGAAACTAACAAATCAGCCTATTTATGTATATATATTATGTAATATACCATACACATATCAGTTTCATAATTTAATTTTTAATTAATCTATGTTTTATTTTTAATTATATTTTCAATCATATTAGACTTGTATATTGATTTTAATGTTATTACTTTATTATTGTATTATGTTATAGTTAGTAAATTTTTTTAATTATTATATATTATAAATGATAAATTAGGTTACATATTTATACTAATAGTTTTAAAGTATATTTGAGACATTTAAAACTAAAATGTAAGCTTATTTAAAAAGCTTACTTTTAAATAGGTTTTTAAATAAGCTTTTAAACCAAATCGGCCTTTAGATATGTTAAGGCTTGAACCATGAGAGAAGCCTTATACAGGCTTCAGACTAAGCTTAAGCCTCTAGCTTACCACATAAACTTATGTCCATTTGGCCAAAGACTAACTTAGCCTAACATCCCTACAGGTGACTAACAAAAAGTTTTTTTTTTCTCCTCAAAAAAATGATTTAGAGAAAAATTATCTCATTTATCAATATAAGGTGCCTAATACTTCTAAAAAAAATCATGGATAAGAATGAACATTAACCCTCACAAATATTTTCAATACTTTGACTTCAGTAAATTAAAAATTTGCATAGGAACAAAAAGTTTTAAATACTTGTTCTATTCTAATCATTATTAAAAGAAAATTAATTATCACTTACAGTAAAGTGATTATCGATACTTACCTTTTTTGAGCCAGAACTATTACTTTTTTTTTATTTTAAACCAGGGATATCTTATTCATTTCATTAAAAATCAGTAATATAAAAAAAATTTTAAAGACTTGAAAAGAATAATAACATTTTATAAAATTTAATTGTCATTTGTATATTTGAAGATGATTTTTTTTTTTGTCATTATCCCATATATTATAGGCCTATAATGTAGGTTGTATATAAGGTTTCAAATATTATGGCCTAGGTGGTATATGAAACCAACTCACGTTGGTATAAATGGAATGGGTACCGTTTTTTAAATAAATGGTTAGGAGTTTGGCATGAAGCAAACGTGATTAAGAGGGGTTTATCATTTGCCTTTCATACTTTATGAAAGATTAATCTTCATTGTTGTTGAAGAATATTATTGATCTTAAAAAATTTCTATCAAGAGAGATTGATATCTAAATAGAAAAAATTTATTGTTGGGATAAGTCTGAAAATATTGGATTTTTTCAATTCATATATTTTTATGATTATATATGGAATTTACATCTTATAATTACATTAATTTGTAATTGTTTTTTCATCTTCTGAAAACACTTTACATTGTATTTGTGAAGGTACAAGAATTAAATTGTTAAAGATGCTTTTTATTTTATGTAAAAAATATTATTATTTATAGTTTAAAAATTCTTTTAGGTATCGTTTGTAGTGATAGATTTAAATTTAAATTTTATATTTAAAATTCATATGTAAAATCCTTTATTTGAATTGTGTGACAAAATTTTAAATGTAAAAGACAAATGAGTTGGGGTTCAAAGCAAAAAATAAAATATTAAAAATGATGAAGTTACATTTACTCTTTAATTAGTGAGATACAAAAACCGAAGATAAAAAAAGTGACAAAAATAATAAAGACACTAATAATAAAAACATGAAGAAAACGGGTGTTATAACATGTGGAATTTCAAACAAATAAAGTTTAGTGAAAATTTAAAATTATAAAGAAATTATTATAAAACATGAATTTAGATTTGACATACTCAAATGGATAATTTGGTTGAAATCCAAATTCTTGTACATTCAAACACAACTTTATATTAATATGTTCATAAAAATAGAGATAAGTATTAATTAATTGAATTCATACTATTAAAATTTGATAGAGTGATATGGGCGGCATAACTTATTAAAGAAGCATGCATTTTAGGAAACCATAAATAGGGGAATGAAAACTTGTGGAATAGGCAAAGTACTCCAAATTTCAAGGTTTGGCAGCTCACGGATAAGTAAGGTCTGAGCAGTTTCCCCCTAAAAAAAGGCAAATATATCATATCATGACATGAGCAGTGTTCAACACGGGATGCCATAGTTTGTTTGTTTTAATTGATAAGGACATAATACCTATTTTTTAGTGTATGGGTTATAAATTTTATTATTAATAAGGAAAATTTATTAGTGAATAATTTATAAATATCATCACAAATATTTATGAGTTAACAAATTTCTAAACCTCAACCTCTTTGGAGGAGAAAAGACACAGCATTTGATCTATATCTGTTTAGCTAAATATATATACACACGGATGCCAAAAATACACACACACCCACACACACCCAGTCGTGAGCTATATTACATGTAAGATTTATTTTTCTAAATGAATAGATTTATATAATTTAATGAAATTAATTTTTTATTGCTTTGTTCTTTTAGTAAAAATTATATATCTCAATTGAGTCATAAAATTATGTCAGTTTAGTGTCTGACAATATCTCGAACATAATTATCTTCTATAAATGCATGTATGTGAGTATTAAAAAAAATTAAAGAGAAACCTCTGTGAATTTAGGTTAAGGTTTAAAAAAGAACACATTTTTCCTTTTACCTAGGTGTAAAAAAGCATTTAAAAATATACTTATAAATTACTAATGAGATCTTCACGTCACTAAATGAGATTCAAACTCATACTTCTATAGGATTGAGTCATCTTTTTTAACTAAACATTGTTATGTTTTATCAAATTTTGTTGTATTTTAAGATGGTCTCAATCCTTAAAAAGAGAAAAGGAAAATGTACTTTTGATCTTATAATTTATATAAAATTTTTAGTTTAATCATTTAATTTCATAAAATATTATTTTAATTTTTTAACCCTTATTTTTCTATTAATTATTGTTATTTTTTTAAAAAAATTAACTTAATATGTTAATATTTTCAATTTTAATGCAAATATTATTTTTGTTGACTAAACTAATACTATTATGATTAATAAGTGACAATTTATATGATTGAAAAGACACTTTATAAAATTAAGTGATTAAAATAAAATCTTTTGTAAAATTAAAGAATTAAAGATACATTTTAGCATATATAAAATGTAGAGAAATATGAGTTAAGTTTTTTCAAAGTTATAGATTTATAGTTATATTTTTTTAGAAAAATAACAAACGAAATTTCTTAGAAAAAATAAATAGTTTACTGATATATAATACAATAATTTCATTCATTGATTGAAGAAAATAAGAGGATGACACTTCGGACTAATATATCAATTTAATTTAAATTTACAACTAAAAATTCAAAATTTTCAGTAAAGGAATCTGGCTCATAATGCTCGAATGAAATTGCATAATTCAAATTTCCCATAAAATGTTTCATGTTTTAAGAAGATCGTTTGTAAATTATTATATAATTAATAATAAATTGTGTAAAATAAGTGTCAATCTTTATAACAAATACTTCTAAAATTCTACACTAACTTTTAATATTTGACATTGATATATTAAAAAAAAATTCCTCTATAATTTCAAATGTTAACATGGTAATATTGGAAAGACTTGCTGAAAATATTTGATATTCATCTTCTGTAGTTTACTACTAACAATATAGTACTCTATATTACATGCTAACAAAAAAAAAAACTATATAGTATATTACAATTGATCTTCTCAAATAAAACATGGAAGATTTTGGGGAAAATAATAATTATGTAATTTTATATGATTATCAAGGACCAAATGTTCTTTGCCGAAATTTTAATTTCTTTAATCTGAAAAAAAAAAATTAAAGTATTGGTGTTAAATTGTCATTCCCCTAACAAAATTATAAAAAAATTTATCTATACAAAAAAAGTAGATTAAGATAATAGAGGATATAATTGGAGTAATTGTGAATTTGTCATTGATAATAACGGTTCTATATAGAAATGGGTTCAGATTAATTTTGATGGAAGGTAATAATACTCCAAATTTCTTATAATATGAGGCTATGGGGAAAAAAAATACTCAGAGAAATTTTTCAACCGACATGTGAGAAAAAGCCTTAAATCATGGGCACAGCACAGGATACACACGCCTTAAAAAATACTTCGTAATAGGCTCCTTGCTCTGTCGGCTGGGACAGTTGTAATAATTTTGTGAAAAATTGATTGATAAAAAATATAAAAATTAATTTCTTTAAAATTTTATGATTTTTCAATCTTTATGTATGCTTGTCAATTTTATGTTGCGAAACTGCATTTTTCCCTTTCACGATACATGCTTATATTATAAATAGGCATTGATACATACTCCGAACTATGGAAAACATAAGTCCTTCTATGAAGGTTTTGCACATTCTTTGGTATCTTTACGGCTAGGAAAGTTGAAGTTAGGATAAGTTGTGAAATTGCAAATGCCACTAAAAGAATAATTGAACTGTATTATAAGCTTATTCCTTCTACAAGGTTTCTTAAACATTTGGAGGGAAAGAGCATTGGATTCACTTTATTGAGATGCTAATAAGTAATAGCTCCTGAACATGGGAATGACTTGACTCAAAGAATTTACAAAATTTAGTGAGACACAAATTTACTTTTTTTTTTTTTTTCCAACTTTCAACAACTCAACCTGAGAAAAACAGAGAAGCAGAATATACACAGTAACAACAATACTATCATGCAGTGTGTGTAATATTAACAACCCTATTCAGCCTCTCAAGAATTCCACTAGCCTTTCTCTTAGCCCTTGAAGTTCCATTCAATGCAAGATCAGTGATAGTTCTATAGGTAATCTCCTCCTCTTTTATCTCCTTCAATTTTCCTCTGTCATGCTGACATATAGTTTGAAGAATCGCTATGCAGTTCTCCTTGTTTCGTTCACAATTGCTCTCCCTCATGATGCTCAGCAAGTTAGGAACAGCTCCAAGATCTAGCATGTCCTGGACAGCCTTTTGATGACTTGAGAGCAGCGCGAGGATTGTGAGCAATTCGTCCACGTAAACCCGGCTTGAGATCTTCCTCAATATAACACTCACTGCCCCTTCCCTCACTGCTCTTGCCTTGTTCTCGTGAACCACACACAAGGTGAAAATTGCTGAAGCAACATCTTTCATGGCTAAGGGATGCCCTTCTTCTAAGAGGTCAATTAACGGCTTCAAGGCTCCAGATTTTCCTATGAGATCTTTGTTTGAGTCTAGAGCAGATAAAGTGAAAAGGGTAGCTGCAGAATTGCTTCTAGTTTCTATAGTTCCCGATTTTAAGGCTTTCACAAGAATTGGAATCACCATAGGAGTTTCCGCGACAAGCTTCTTGTTGTTGTCATGGATTGAGATGTTCAAAAGTGTTGTGATCACATCTTCTTGGAGATCAGGATGAATGTTGTTCAAAGAGTCGCTTGCAGAGACTCGTTTGAGAAACTCAGAAATGGCATGTGAAGTCTCACCAAAGAGTGTTCTGTACAAAGGCATCTTCTTTGTCAATAAGCGAAGCTCTTTTGCGGCTGCTTTCTGCTCAGAAAGTGATGATGAGGACATTTTCTCAAGCAAAGAATGAAAGTGATCGTGATCTGCTTTTGTTATTATGTCTTCCTCATTGTAAATACACTCAAGTTGGTTGGATAATTCTACCCCATGGTTCTTGCACCACTGTTCTATCATTTCCCTTATGAGGTGGTTTGGAGTGAGGACAGCGTGTGAGAGGACTTGTTGGGTTTGAGGACAAGTTCTGTTCCCAGCTTTCAGCCATTTTTGAATGAAGGGTCTATCATATGTCTGCATAATTGAGATGAACGAAGTTAGGGGAAAACCTCAGTATCATTATGCCGACAAGTCAAAAAGTTCTTGGTAGTTAATGTGTTCATTAACTTAATAGTAAAGACATGATTATTAAAGCTTTTGTTTTGTGTGAAAATCATTTTACCTTAGCAGTTAAGTCATTAAGTAAATGTGCTGAATCATTTCACTGTATAATCCTCTAATAGCATCGGTGTTACAGAATAAAGGCTTGGAGCAGACAGACAAAAAGAAGTTGGGGAATGTGGAGAAGCAACACTAGCAATTCACAACAGAAAGGAAAGAGCTCAGAACACTAGAAGTTCATCATTCCCTTTCAGGGAAATTAGTCAAAAAGTTTTACACAAAGCTGCTAATCGACACCGCCATTCGCTAAAGAATCACATTTAATGGACATAAAGAAAAATATTCTTTAACTTTCCACTCTCTCTCTTTCCTTCCACAATGGTTAATATACTGTTACTACGGTTTTAATTTTTGTGCTTTTACTTATCCAATTGAAACACTAATGCAGAAAGCTAACGACAAAATAATAGGAAGATCTGAAAATTTTCAGTGGATCAAACAAAAAGTACCAGAAATCACACTTCCAGCGACAGCAACGCGTTAACAGGAAGTCAATTGAATTCTTTAATAACACCAACTACCAGACATCAGAATTCTTGATGACAATCACATAAAGTTAAAAAAATAGTAAATAAATAAATTGCGTGCCACATTGAACAAGAAAAAGAAAAGCAGGAGAAAACTGATTGGACTTAAAGAAAACAAGACGGAAAAGAAAATAGAGAGAAAGAAGGAAAGCTGAAAGTTTCACATGGTTAAGATTCAATTAACCTAAAACGAACAGGTAGAAAATCCTGATTTTCAAGGTTCTGGAAAATGAACTGATGATGATGATAAAAACATATTCTTCTTTCTTTCCCATTAGGACTTTCAAGTCAAGAAGAGCAACTGACAAGAAAGGGGAAAAATTATAAAATATAAAATCCGACATCTTCACTTTGGTTGATTGTAATAACAAGTAGGGAGTATCTGAGAAAGCAATAACTGAGTAGTTAAAAGTTCCATATTTCAATGAACTGTGTGTTTAGCCTAAATTTATGTCGAAAAGTTACAAGAAACTCAATTTTTTTAAGAAATTACGCGGACAAGAAAATAATCGCTGGCGCTGAAAAATAGAAAGAAAACAAATAAACACATTGTAATCTATCTAGTTCTGGTTCTTTAATCTACAACATTTTCACAGATGCCAAACAGATTCGAATTATGACACTAACCTTTCCAGATGCCACAATGACAGGATCTCTCATCAATTCCTTAGAAAGAGGACACTTAAATTCTTCTGGAAAACCAGAATTTTTGCTTAGCTTAAACGACGAAGATTGTGAAGATGGTGACGATGACGATCTCTTTCGAAGCTTGAGGTCCTTAAGAGTCGAAAGAGCTTCCTTAGCTTGATCAATGGTTTGTATGCTGCAATCATCATCGTCGATGATGGAGTTCACCAACCTGTTCAATTCCTTCTTCAATTCCAACACCTTTGTCGCCACCGCTGGATCAGAGTCCACCGCCGCCACGCCAGACTTTGCCATGCGATCTGGCGGCAGATGATCGGTGCCGTCGCTTTGAATTTTTATACAAAAGAAAAACGAAATTTGGTTCAGAGAATTGAGAAGCAGAGAATATCAGTCAGTGGGAATGCTCGCACTCTGTTTCATTCTCTCTCTTTTACGTGTGCAGCTCTCTGTTTTCCCACTGTATTTATATTTTTATTTTCTATATTTATATTTATTTATAAACATTTTTACTTTCGGCGCTGTAGTTTTTTCGGCCTCCGTCGAAGTGTTTGAAAATTCAATGAAAATTATTGTCTACTTTGTAATCGCATATATACAAATTTTTAAATGATTCATTTAAAAAAGTTGCTTCCAAAAACTAAGATATCTATGATACAAAAACAGAACAAAATATTTTATCCAAATTTTATGTTTTTATTATTATTTTTTATAAATTTTTAGAAGAAATTTATGAGTTTTATTTCATTTTTATTATTTTAAGAAAATATTTTAGATAATTAGAAAGCACAAATTAAAAATGAGCCAGGAATTTTTCTTTATTATGACTAAGCACAGAGGTTAATTGACCTCCAAGTCATTCATTGGCATAAAGAAAAAGTTAAATTCTCTAATCTTACTCTACAAGTTTCACGTGATCCTTAATTTTGATTGATCCAGCTGAAAGTGGAAAGAAATTTACTCTTAAAAAAGCAAAGAAAAAAAAAAAAAGAAAACAATGCAATGTAATCGGGTTTGAGATGACTTTAAACTTGGATAAAGCTGGTCTTTTTTTAAGAATATTGTGAGAGTGATGAATTTTATTTCCTTATGTTTACAGTAGATGCATTTTTTTCCCTCTTTAGCTTTTTTTTTTAATGATTTTATACTAGATGCATTAATATAATGTTAATCAGATGTTTATTACTTAAGAAATAATAAATAGGAAGTTTTGATTGGCCGGAATAAATAAGAATCGAACAAGTTGCACTATATGAGCAGGTGATTAATATATTTATAATTGCATATAATTTAATTATTTTTTAATTAAATTTAATATATTAAGTAATTATACGATGTAGTTTCCATATCATTAGTAAAAATTTATAATACATCTCATTTAAATATATCAACTATTAACAAAATCGAACAATATTAATGTCTATTATAAAATGTATAATCAACAAAAAATAATCAGTAGGAATTGAACAAGTTTATTGCATTGTTGGAGTATATGACTCAATTTAAATAATTCCATGGATATGATTTAAAACTGTCAGAATTAATATATTTCTTATTACATACTCCTTCCGTTATAAAATGTAAAATATTTTTAATTGAATCTCACCTTCAATAAAGTAGTTATTTACTTTCATACTAACATTATCTTTTCATATTTATTCATATTAAACACCCTACAATAAATATAAAGTCATTATCTATAAGGACACTTCTGAAAAAAAAAAAAGGCAATAATTACACCTCAAAAAATTAAAAATATCTTACATTTTTTAATATCTAACTTCTCAAAAAATATCTTATATTTTTTAACAGAGGGAGTAATAATTTAGTTTTTTTTATCAAGGCTAAAATGTACAAAATTTTCCTTAATTTTAAGATGTATAGAACCCTCTTATTTTTAAGGCCCTAAAATGTAAAATCAATCCCCACAACCTTTTATTATTATTATTATTTTCATCATAAGCTCCTTTACAATTATTTTTTAATTATCTTACTAATAAAATTTCTCATGTTGCACTAGAAAGAAAACACATGGCAGGCTATATGACATTTTATGTTAAGTTAATAATAGTTTTATAAAAATTTTATCCATATTTTTTTACTATTATTAGCTTATATCAAATATCATATAAGTGTCTTTTCTTAATATAGCATGACAATTTTTGTTAGTAAGATGACTAAAAAATAATAGTAAGGAAGTTTGTGATAAAAAATAAAAAGTTATAAAGGTTAATTTTGAATTTTTAAATGTGAAAAAGTTTTGTACAACTGCTTTAAAATTAAGGAGAATTTTGTATATTTTAATTTTTATTAAAATATGATGATCAAAGAGTATTTGTCAATTGTCATGGTAATATTAGTTAACTTAATTAAGTTCCTTAGGCACTTGTTATGATATTATTAGAAATTCACACATTTAACTCAATGTAATTAAAGATGTTTTTGATGGTGCGCACTTGTTCTCTTATCAAGATTAATTTTATTCAAGGTGCGATCAAGCTATTAAATATAAACATCTATCTCCATAAAAATTTGGGCATTGTGTTTAAGTTATTTATGAATAAAATAGTTTGTATTGAGAAAAAAATAGTGGAAAACTAAAAATATCATGAGTGAGTAGTAATGATTCTTTTTAACAGAAGCTAAAATATAAAAATAAATGCTCACATGAGGACTAAAAGTTGTTTATTAGCCATTGCTCTAAAATGATGTATGATTTTTTCCCATCAATATGTGTTCAGATTTTACTAGTTAATTGTTTATCTAAAAATCCATATATTTAATAAATTAAATATGTATATTATTGTAAAAAAAGTCTCAAATGCAAACCCTGAACAATAATGATTAAAGTTCCATCAAAATCAATATATGATCTTAAGAATAATTTGATCCCCAAATGATGTTCTTCTTTCCTCATAGACAACATACCATGAGAAAAGCAAATAAACAAAAAACAAAAATCGTTCATAAATAACAACAAAATATAGGATAGGTAGTTATCATGATTAATCTAGATTCTGAAATAATTGAACGAAAAAAAGTCTCTAATTATAAGAGAAGTCCAACGCTATAATTGATTAGTATTATAGTTGTTATTATTATTTATTTTATACAAATAGTAGATATTATTATCAATCACGGGTACAACAATATCTCAACAGATGTCAAGCGATTAAGGAAAAAATCATACTCTCTTTATAAAAAATATAAAATATTTTTAATTAATTGTTTTCAAATTAATTTTATATTTTTATATTTATTCTTATTTAATGTGATGTTTTATCCTAAAATAAATATAAAATTATTTATTTAATAAGGATACTTTTTTCAAAAAATAATGATTACATTTTAAAATATTAAAAATATTTTATATTTTTTAATATTTAACCCTTTAAAAGATATTTTATATTTTTAAATTGAGAAAATATTTAATAGCTATGAGCTATACAAGTCCAAAAACAAAAAATATGTTTCAAAAAATGAGAGAATCTTTTAAGTTCTTAATTATTATAACGAGAAAATTAAGATATACAAATTTTACTTATTGATGAAATAAATATTTTTAATTTATCAATCATTAATGTTATACAAAGGAGAGTTTTATAACATCAAAAATAAAAAAGAAAACAAATATTGTTGAGAGAGTTTTACATATGAATGGTTTGCCTGAACTAAAGCCTCGTTTGGTATAATAGAAGAGTTTTTGATAGAATCAGAATTGAAATTAGAATCGGAATCGAAATCGGAATCGGAATTGAATTGAGTTTTAAAAGTGTGTTTGGTATGAAGATGGAATCGTGATATAATTTTAATAAGTATATGTATTTAAAATATAAAAAATTAAAATACCCTTTATTTTATTTTTTTAATGAAAAACTTAACAATAAAAAAATAAAGAATGTACTTTTAAAGCTTAAAATACCTTTTATTTTATTTTTTTAATGACACATAAGCCAATTACATGTTGAGTTGGTGGATTCCATGATCTCTATAATGGAATTGGATTCCATCAATTTTGATGGAATCAGATTCCTTCAAGAAAGCAATTCTGGTATACCAAACAAGCCAACTGAAGAATTCCATGTCCAATTCCATTTTCCTTTTCACAATTCTGATGTACCAAACATGACCAATTTTAAGGATTTGGGTATACCTCTAATGCTTCAAATTTTATTGTCTTTTATTTTTATTTTTATTGTAAGATACTTTTAATTATTTTATTAAAATTATGAAATTACGGTTAATTCATTAAGAATATCCTAAAATGAAAAAAAAAATTCCCCACTAAAAATAATATACAATGAACCAAGAAAATAAATTTACAAAAAGAATAAAAATAATAAATAATTCTTTTATATACAAGTAATAAATAATTCTTCATACGACTTATATTAAGAACTAAATAATCTCTCTAATCATTAATAAAAATTCAAATTTAAATTTGAATTAAGCAAAACTCAAATTTACATTAGAAAAAAATACATTTTATATTTTTATTATATTTTATTAAGTAATATAGTACAGAGAATATGATGGAGTAAATTTTTTTAAATTTTCTTCTGCGAATAATTTAAAAATAGTGACATTAATGTCTGATGATGGGAAGGTGCTGAGGGAGAGGACGGTGGGATCCACATGGTCCATTAGGCAAGCAATCACGGGATCCACGGTTCCCCCATACAGCTGGCAAGGCGTGTGGGACCCAATGATACAACCCGCATTCTACTCGTCTCTCACATAATAGCCTCCCTCTCCGCTGTGTGCGGGAGTTATGTTCCTCTGCGGGCGTTACTACAGTGACCGACTGCACCTGCATTAACACCTGGCACAAACAAACCATGCATTGCTTGCCGTGGCTCAATGACTCGGATTATCTTTACACGTGTCGTCTTATCCGACAAGAATTCTAAGACACGCCAGTTAAGATGATCGGGTTAAAATGGTGGGGTCCACGCGGTAATTCAAGTCAAAGGGTGGGGGTTATTTGTCAGAACCAAACCGTTTCGTTGGCTCACTTGGACCGATTGCCGGCTGGCTCATGATTGAGTTGTTGAATATTTGAACCTTTTTTGGCTGTGATTCAATGCAAAGCCGAGACGAAACCGTTAGGCACCGCCGTCCTTTTGTAGTTGAGACCTCGGGTTGTATTGAAACTTGTGTAACGCGCTGGAATTTTTATTTCTAATTTCTTCATGCAGCCGTAGAAGACTTTTTTTTTATGAAATTATAAATATTAATAAAATCAATTAAATTTTTAAAATTAAAATTCTAAAAATACAACAACTTTAATAAAAGATAAAAATAGATATATTCAAAAAATAAAATAATAAAAAATATTTTTGAAATAAGCTCAATTAATACTTATTCTCTTCGTTAAAAAATATGAGGTACTCCCTCCGTTTAAAAATATAAGGTATTTTTA